TGAGGGACGTACCCTCCATAACTGATCTGCCTGCTCCATTATCATGCGGAACTACTGCATATACTCTGCTGGTGGATGAAAAGTGCTTTGCTGCTGGTGTTGGAGAATATGGGACAATCTGCCCCTGGGGAACCTCTTGAACTGCTAGAACCTGCCCCTCAGTCTTCTGCTGCTGCTGATTTGGACCATTTCCCTTCTGATCTCTTGTTAGTGTACTGCTACACTCAAATGCCTGGTGCCCGGCCTTGCGGCAGTTATAACAAACTCCCCGGAATTTACGCTGCTGACGAACTTTCTGATTCTGTTGGGATCCCTTCTTATGAGGGCTCTGCTGATGCTGTTGGGATCCAATCAAGGGTCTCTTGTTCTTGCCCTTGTCTCCGGCGTGTCCTCTCTTAGCACTCCCTTCCTCCTCGTCCTTCTGAAACTTAGCTGTCCCATTTTCTTGAGAAATGGCGATTTCAGCTACTGGTGGTGGTGGTGGTGTAATGTGATTCGCCACAAGCTCCTCGATTGCTGTTATCCTAGCGACTAAGGGATCCATAAGATCTACCAGGTACTGGGGAGCCTGCTGCGGCTCAGGTGGAGTTTGTTGTGGTTCAGCCTGTCCAGATCTCTGAGTACGTGACATATCATATTCTGACATCTCTGCTCAAAAGGAAATAAGGGTTTAGGAGTCAAAATAGACCTCTATAAATAGCGTATCACAATACAATTTTTACTACATATAGTATTTGCACAAATACTTTAAACTTATACAAAAATAGTTGTCATAAAAAAAAATTCTCAAATTTTGAGATATACGCATATATCGTCCTCACTCATACTAGGAAATTCTTATCGGACCCTATACATGAATCCTAAGAAACTCTATCCTAGCTCCACGACTTGACACAAGATAATCCTAAGGATACTGGAACTAGAGCTTTGATACCAACTGTGACGCCCCTGGGTTCACACAAGGCTGCAATCCGAGGTGAAACCAGGACTGTCAAACCTGCCATGCACCACACCGTGCAATAACATGTTTCACCATCACAATTAACATCTATCTAGTAGAGTCAACAACTGGTGTAGGTACAAAACAGGTAAAAGATAATACAAGATATACTAATGGAATGATAACAGTCACATAAATATCTCATCATCCCACATAAAAAAAATACATAGCCAAGATCTGAGTAGATAAACTGGAATACTCAACAAGTCTCAAATACAAATATCTGACAAAAAGGAAATAAGGCACACAGCCTTTACAACTTCTAGAATAAAACTCTCACATGTCTACACAAAAAAAAGAAATCTACAGTGGAACTCAAAAGAAAATATAACTAAAGAGACGACTGAGATAAAGTATATCGCCATCAACCTGCGACTCTCCGGGCTCCTGGCTCGTTACCTGAAAGGGGGAGGGACAACGAGCGTCAAAGCGCTAGCGAGTAACATCACAACCAACCCCAAGGGAACAGGGCTCGTTGTATAAGAAAAATACAGTTAATATATAAGAGATCAAAAATCATTGATCTTACTAAAGAGGGTTTTAGTATTTAGAAATTTACAACACGAGCATAGGTACGTCGAGCGAAATAATCCAAACAAGGAAACCCTCATGTATATACCTTGTATCCCAAATTGAAAATCCCTAAGTACCAAACCCGGAGTCTAATACGTGCACAGAAATAAGCAAAAAGGAAAT